AACCCCGAAACCCCGAACCCCTAAACCCCTAAACCCCCGAACCCCTAAACCCCTAAACCCCAAACCCCTAAACCCCAAACCCCTAAACCCTAAACCCCCTAAGCCTTAAGCTCTCAGCTTGTTATATTGATTTGGACGTGGGCTCAGCCCAACAATAAAGGAGATCACGGGAGATTGGGGTTCCAGCTCAGGTTTAGGGTTTAGGGTTTAGGGTTTAGGGTTTAGGGTTTAGGGTTTAGGGTTTAGGGTTTAGGGTTTAGGGTTTAGGGTTTAGGGTTTAGGTTTAGGGTGGTTGTCAAAATTAGGGTCCCTTTTGGGGTACCCTAAATAATAGGTGCCGTATTATAATAAGGACCCAAAAAGGGACCATAATTTTGACAACCGCCCAATATGGTTTAGGGCTTAGGGCTTAAATAGGGTTTAGGGTTTAGGGGCCCTAGAGAACCTACGTTTTTAGGGTTCATTAATATTTAATAAGCCCGCGACTGAAACCGGAAACCCGAGACATAACAAAAAGAAGCTGACCAACCCCGTTGCAAGGCCGGCAGTTGTCCAAGCCAGCTCTAAAATACTGAGCCCAGTAATTGTTTCGCTACTTCCTAAGCCCTGTACCCTACGCTAAACACTGCACCCTCAAACCAGAGATCTTGCCACAAAAGGCACCCCACCAGCTTGCGTCGAACGACCAGTACCTCAGCGATGCAGAAGGAGGCCACGGCTGCTAGGGATTCCTAGGCCCCGGAAAGACAGCTTCAAGAGCTTTGGGTTTGGGGCTTAGCTTTTTCGGGTTTAGAATTTAGGGTCTTGTCTATATCACTTTCTATTTATGGAGGTTGTCGGGGCTTAAGGTTCTGGGCGAAGCGTTTGCTTCCTGACTTGCACGGCCCATGTAACACCTGCTGTACGTACGAGAAACTCATCATCTAGGGACAGCCAGCCGCAGAGTTCCGTGCAACAACCAATTCTGTTTTAGCACGACAAACTAACTGGGGTTTAGGGTTTAGGGTTTAGGGTTTAGGGTTTAAAGCTCGGAATGAGATGTCGCGACGATCGAAGAACTCCAATCTATTCAGGCATGATGCATGCTCGAAGATGTAGTGTAAACTCCTGATTAGTAAACCCTCCTTCTTCAAGCGCCTTCATATACGGATGGAGTAAGCAAGGTCAAGGGAAGGGATGCATTCTTTACTTTCATACTCCTCAACCCTAGCACACTCTAGAACTCATATTTCGAGACAGTGGCCACTTATGCCTCTGGACTCCCAGCCTTGCTAGTCTTAGGGGCTGAGTACCCTAGCCCAAAAAAGGTTAACCTGTTGAGTTATAGTAGGATTATTTATGCCCCAAAAGGCTAAAGTTAAAGGTTATCTACTCAGCCCCTAAGTAGTACATATACAATGCCCCTGTAGACAGGCCCTGAAAGGGCAGCCAGAGAGTTGGAACATCATGCAACATACCCCTGAACCCTAAACCCTAAACCCCTAAACCCTAAACCTCTGAAGTGACGGCAAAACGCAGGAAATTCGAGCACAAATCATCCGACATCCATGTCCCAACTTTCTGGGGTTCACGAAATCTCAGACATGAAATCCCAGAACATGCACCGGAAATCCAAGTCCCCATAAAGCCTCACACCTGAAACACTAAAACCCTCTAATATAGGGGCCTTTATAGTTAGAATAGGGCTAAATACTTATAGTTATAATAAGGAACCCCCAAAAAACCCTATTCTAATTATTCAGGCCCAAACCCTGAACCCTAAACCCTAAACCCCTAAACCCTAAACCCTAAACCCTAAACCCTGAACCCCTAAACCCTAAAGGAAAGCCCTTAAGTCCCAATTCCGCAGAAGCTGCGTCGTCCCTAAAGCAAAGAGCCCCGGCTGCAGCGCAGTGACCTGCACGGCTCCAAATAGTGCTTTTGCGGTTTAGGGTTTAGGGTTTAGGGTTGTACCTTTATAGTACATACTTAAGCCTTCAATAAGGTTGGGGTGCATAATACCATAATCTTAATAAGGAGCCCCCCAAAAAAATAGTATAGGCAATTACTTGGGCCCCTACATTAGGTTTAGGGTCTACCTATAGTCTCCATTGTACTTCCTTTTTTTTGGTTTAACCCAATTTATATTAAGGATTTTATAAGGTATCCCCAAAAAGGAACTACAATGGAGACTATAGGTAACCCCTGAACCTTCCTCCAAAATACCCAAAGCCTGAACCCTAAACCCTAAACCCTAAACCCTAACCCCTAAACCCAAGCCCTGAACCGTTTAGGGTTTAGGGTTTAGGCCAACAAACCCTACTAACTATGAGGCTTCAAGGCTTTAGGGTTCAAGCACTTCGGGTTTGGCAGCGAACCCTACTAGGCCTCAACACTGCCGGGCTTCGGGATTCGCCCTGAATCGGGAGTTGGGATATGGGTTTAGGGTTTAGGGTTTAGGGTTTAGGGTTTAGGGCTTCAAGAAGATACTTCTGCTCAGAAGTACCTTTGTAAGCGAACAAGCCTATGTCCCATAGAACCCCAAAAAAACTCCAAGACCCTAAACCCAAAACCCCAAAACCCTGAACCCCAAACCCTAAAACCCGAAAAACCCTCACCACCAAAACAAAAAAACTCAAAACCCTAAACCCCGAAACACTTTTCAAGGTCCCAGGTCCGAAGCCTCATC